CCCGGGGCCCCGCCCCCGCCCCCGCCCGCACTTTGCGTTCCGCGCGCCGCGCCGGTCCCAGGACCCCCCGTCGGGCTGCCCGCGACCCGCCTGCCACGCCCGCCCGTGCGCTCGCCCGTCCCCGCCCGCTTGGGGCCCGGGGCCCGGGGTCGCGTCCGCGCCCTAGCTGGGCCTCCGTGAGCGGGGCCGCCTCCCGTGTCCCCGCGCCGCCCCGGCCGCCCCGAGCGCGGCGCCGTCAGGCAGGGCGCGGGCAGCCCGACGCGGGGTCCTGGCACGGGCGCGGCGCGGGGCGCGGGCTCTCAGGCGGCTGTGGCCCGGGTGGCTGCGATGCTGTGGCCGCGGCTGGCGGCCGCCGAGTGGGCAGCGCTGGCCTGGGAGCTGCTGGGCGCCTCGGTGCTGCTGATCGCCGTGCGCTGGCTGGTGCGGCGGCTGGGCCCGCGGCCGGGGGGCCTGGGCCGCAGCGGGACCCCCGTTCCTCCGCCGCGCGCGGCCGCGGCCCCCGCCTCAGGTGAGGCCCAGACGGTCGCTGGGCCCCGGCACCCCGGCCCGTCTCCCGCCCCGGCCCCGGCCCGGCCGCGCTCCTCGGGCTCCCGGCGCCGCAGCAGTTGGGCGAGGCCGCCGCGAGAACCGGAGCCGCGGCGCAGCAAGCCGGGCGGACGAGCGCGGCGCGAGACGCCCGGGGCCTGGCGGGAAAGGCCGTTCCGACCGCGGAAAGGGCAGTTGGGGGGACCCGGCTTCCCGGGGCGGGGTCGGGGGATCCCGGGGAGGGCCGCGAGGCGGCAGCGCGGCGGGGCCGGGAGGCGGCGGGGCTCGGCGGGGCGTTGGCGCGGACGGTTGCCGTGGAGATGGAGACCTGGGAGGGCCGGGGCGGCGGGGCTCGGCGGGGCTCGGCGGGGCTCGGCGGGGCTCGGCGGGGCAGGAAGCCCCTGGGTCGCGGGTGTCCGCGGAGTGTGACGCCTCCGCGGTTACCGGTCGCTGAACACCAGGTGGAGACGCGAAGGCGAGTGTGACTTCGGGGTTTGCGGCTGGCGGACGCGGAGACGCGGGCGTTCTCTCCCTTGGGGTGGGCTGTCGGGCCTGGGGACGTGGGTCTGGGTCGTTTTACGTTTGGGGCAACTGTGATGTTGTGGAGGGTGTATCGCTCCGTTTCCGTTCCCTTTTCCCGGCGTACAACTCAAGTCCCTGGAACCTCCAGACTGATGTCCTTTGTAGGCCGAGTGGACCGGTGGCTGGTCGCAGGGAAGACCAAGGCAGGGTTAGAGGTTTTGGGGACTTCCAGTCCCACCCCCAACCTCCGGGGACGGGAGGCGGGCTGAAGGCTGAGCTGATGACTCATGCCTGGGAAATGAAGTGTCTGCAGAAACCCGAAAGGGCTGGGTTCAGGGAGCTTCCACATAGCACGTGCGGGCTCCTGGGGGCGGTGCCCGCGAGCCCTGAACCTCCAAGCCCTTTCCCCCAGCTTTCCCTCACGCATCCCTTCACATGTATTCTTTGTAACCCTTTATACTATGCTGATAACTGTAAGTAAATAAAACATGTCTCTGAGTTCGGGAGCCATTCTAGCAAATTAACGGAACCGGAGAAGGGGGTTGTGGGGACCCCAGTTGTGGTCTGTCGGAAGCGCAGGTCAAACAGCCTTGGCACTGGGAGTGGGGGGCAGTCTTGTGGGGCTGAGCCCTTAACCTGTGCGGTCTGAGGGTGTCTCCAGGAAGATGCTGTCAGAAGAGATTACTGAATTAGAATGGAACTGCACAGAACACACCCAGCCTGTGTCCACAGCAGAACTGATCACCTGCGTGATTCGTGGGGAGAAAACCCCCACATATCTGACGTCTGAAGCGTGGTGCCAGAGTCTAGTGGGGGACGCTGAGTTTGTTTTTACCCTGAATTGTCCGACTGTGAGTTGCTGGGGAGCAGTGCTTTCTGATGTCGAGTGAGGACTCCTGTACGATTGTGCTGAGCTTGTGTTCTGGCCCTACCACTTATTTTTTATTTGTTTGTTTATTTTTGAGACGGAGTCTCTGTCGCCCAGGCTGGAGTGCAGTGGTGCGACCTTGACTCACTGCAGCCTCCATCTCCTGGGCTCAAGTGATTCTCCTGCTTCAGGCTTCCGAGTAGCTGGGACTATAGGCGCCTGCCACCATGCCCGGCTAATTTTTGTAATTTTAGTAGAAACGGGGTTTCACCATGTTGGCCAGGTTGGTCTTGAACTCCTGAACTCAGGTGATCCTCCTGCCTCGGCCTCCCAAAGTGCTGGGATTACAGGCGTGAGCCACCGCGCCGGCCTTACCACTTACTGCTGTGGGCCTAACGTGTCGGTTTTTAGCCTGCTGGATTAGGAACAGGGATGATGATAGTGCCTGGTTAGCAGGGTGCTTTGGGAGTTGGGCAAGTGCAGCCCTCGGTATGTGTGAAGCACCACTAAGTGCTCTGTTACTGTCACCAGTGGCATCATCCAAGCAGAGCTCTGGACCAGCTGGCTGCGGGTGAGGCTGGTGTTCTGAGAATGGCTGAAATAGAAAACACTGATACTTCCACAAGTTAGCAGACATGTAGAGAAACTGGGTCTCATGCATTGCGGGTGGGAGTGGTAAGTGGGGCAGCTGCTCTGGAAGTCAGCCTGGCAGGTTTCTGGGAAGTCAAACCTGCCCTGCATTCCTGAGCTTTTAGACAAATTAAAACTATTTTCACACAAAAACCCATGTTTGATGTTCATAGCCACTCTATTTGTAATTGCCAGAAAGTGAAATAACCCAAATGTACCTCTAGGGGTGAATGGTTAAACGTACATGCTGATGCCACAGGGTGCCACTCCCCAGCCATCCACTCTGCCACGTGGTGGATCTAAAGGGCATTATGCTGAATGGGATAAGCCAATCTCAAAAGCTATGTACTGTAAGATTCCATTTCTGTAATATTCTTAAAATGACACAGTTGTGGGATAGAACAAATTCACGGTTGCCAGAGGCTGGGGTCATGGGGGAGATGGGACTTGTCTGTAGAGCAGCAGGGGGAGGTCTTTGTGGCAGTGGGACCATTTTGTATTTGATTGTTGCAGTGATTAGCACAAGTCTGTACATGTGATAAACTGCCATAGAATTGTACACAGACATCTACACAGGAGCCTGCAGGGACTGGCGAGGTCCGAGGATGTTGTGTTGTGCTAGTGCCAGTTTCTTGGTTTTGGTAACGTTTTAGTTACATAAGGTGTCAACCATGGGGGAAGCTGGGTGGTGGGTCCACAGGATCTCTCTGTTCAATTTTTGTAACATTTAGATGTTATAGACTTAGATCTGTAATTATTGCAAAATGAGAATTTAAATCCTGTGGGCCAGGCAGGGTAGCTGACATCTGTAATCCTAAACTTTTGGGAGGCCGAGGCAGGTGGATTGCCTGAGCTCAGGAGTTTGAGACCAGCCTGGGCAACATAGTGAAACCTGTCTCTACTAAAATAGAAAAAATTAGCCGGGTGTGGTGGTGAGTTCCTATAGTCCCAGCTACTTGGCAGGCTGAGGCAGGAGGATCGCTTGAACCTGGAAGAGGGAGGTTGCAGTCGAGATCGCACCGCTGTACTCCAGCCTGGGTGACAGAGAGAGACTCCGTGTCAAAAAAGAAATCCTGTGTATCAGGGCTTACATTCCCCAAATGTTAATGTCTTACCTAATCACGCTGCAAATGTGCAAACCGGGAAATAACATTAATGGACGGCCTGGCACTGTGATTCGTGTGCCACCATGTCCAGCTGATGTTTGTTTTTTTTAGTAGAGGTGGGGTTTTACCATGTTCGCCAGGCTGGTTTCAAACTTCTTACCTCAAGTGATCCACCAGCCTTGACCTCCCAAAGTGCTAATGATTACAGGTGTGAGCTGCTGCACCTGGCTTTACTTATTTCTTGAGTATGTAAATCACAAACATGATTTTAAAAGTCAGAAGCCTATAGAAACTTAAATTCAGAAGCATTACTTCCCCAATCCCTTCTTCTTCTTCTTCTTCTTCTTCTCTTTTTTTTTTTTTTTGAGACAGGGTCTGATTCTGTCACCCAGGACGAACTGCAGGGGTGCTGTCTTGGCTCACTGTGGCCTCCATCTCCTAGGCTCAAGTGATCCTCCTGGCTTAGCCCCCTGAGTAGCTGGGACCATAGGTACGCGTCACTGTGCCTGGCTAATTGTTTTGGTAGAGACGGGGTTGCCCACCCAGGTGGGTCTCAAACTTCGGAACTCAAGTGATCTGCCCACCTCAGCCTCCCAGAGTGCTGGAATGAGGCATGTGCCACAGCACCCGCCCCATCTCTTCTGCTGCATTTGTTTTGTTCCGTTCTTGCCATCTGGTTCCCACCCTGTTTCCACTTTCTCCTCTCTTTGTGCACCCATGAACAGACGTTGGCATTTTATACTAAGAGTATTAGTAACAGCATACGTTTTTGTTTTTATTCAAGCCGCCTTTGTAACACATTATGTGCTTACTCTGAAGGATTAATAAATTTGTATTGCTTGACAGCATAGTAGCAGCTGCTGACATTTATGGTCATTCGTCAGTGCCAGGCACAGTGTCATAGACCTCCTGCTTTATTTTATACAGTTTTCACTGTGCCCTAAGGAGGAGAGCTTTAGTATGTCCATTTTATTTATTTTATTTTTTTGAGATGGAGTCTCACTCTGTCACCGAGGCTGGAGTGCAGTGGTGTGATCTCGGCTCACTGTAGCCTCTGCCTCCCGGGTTCAAGTGATTCTCCGCCTCAGCCTCCCAAGTAGCTGGGATTACAGGCACCCGCCACCATGCCTGGCTAATTTTTTGTATGTTTAGTAGAGATGGGGTTTCGCCATGTTTGCCAGGCTGGTCTCAAACATCTGACCTCAGGTGATTCATGTTCCTTGCCTTGCCAAAGTGTTGGGATTACAGGCGTGAGCCACTGCGCCTGGCAAGTATGTCCATTTTATAGATGAGGAAACTGAGGTTAAAGTTTTAAGTAACTTGGCTAAGGCTGCACAGTTAGTGATGTCATATAATGTACTTTTTCTGTTTAGGGCTTGCTTGGTTGCAGGGACAAAACCTCCCTCCAGTTAGCTCATGTTAAAAAGGTGACATTAGGCCGGGCGCGGTAGCTCACGCCTGTAATCCTAGCACTTTGGGAGGCTGATGTGGGTGGATCACCTGAAGCCAGGAGTTCAAGACCAGCCTGGCCATCATGGTGAAACCCCATCTTCAAAAAAAGAAAAAATGACATTAGGCTGGGTGCAATGGCTCATGCCTGTAATCCCAACACTTTGGGAGGCCGAGGTGGGTGGATCACCTGAAGCCAGGAGTTCAAGACCAGCCTGACCAACATGGTAAAACCCTCTTTCTACTAAAAATACCAAAATTAGCCAGTCATGATGGCAGGTGCCTATAATCCCAGCTATTTGGGAGGCCTAGGCAGGGGAATTGCTTGAACCCAACAGGTGGAGGCTACAGTGAGCCGAGATTCCGCAACTACACTGAGTGGCAGAGTGAGACTCTGTCTCAACAAAAACCCAAAAGGGTGACATTAGAGTAAGGACAGAGTTGTATGAAAAGTGGAATACTGCCTGGAACTGAGACAGATCCTGTTTATTGATAATTATTCTCCACTTGCCCCCAGCCCTTAAACTGTGCCCTGCATGTGGCTTTGACCTACTGTGTGCCTGCTCCACTGTAGATTGCTACAGCCCTTCACAGCAGATCCTCAGCACCACACTGTCTCTGCATAGAGAATCTGGTGACCTGCTTATGCCTGGGCTGAATCTTGGGGTCACTAGGTTCCCACTCTAGGGTCTTTGGCAGATTCATTTGTTGTTGAAAAGACCATCCCCTCTGCCAATAAGTAACAGCATTTAAAAAATTTTCTTGGCCGGGTGCAGTGACTCATGCCTCTAATCTCAGCACTTTGGGAAGCCAAGGCGGGTGGATCACGAGATCGAGAAGACCAAGACCATCCTGGCCAGCATGATGAAACCCTGTCTCTACTAAAAATACAAAAATTAGTTGGGCGTGGTTGCATGCGTCTATAGTTCCAGCTGCTTGGGAGGCTGAGGCAGAATTGCTTGAACTCGGGAGTTGGAGGTTGCAGTGAGCCGAGATCGCGCCACTGCACTCCAGCCTGGCACCTGATGACAGAGTGATACTCTGTCTCAAAAAAAAAAAAAAAAAAAAAATTGGAATTGCGCAGGTTGGGGGTTGGCATCATAAAAATGTTTTTTGCCAGGCGTGGTGGCTCACACCTCTAATCCCAGCACTTTGGGAGGCAGAGGCGAGGGTGGATCAGTTGAGGTCAGGAGTTTGAGACCAGCCTGGCCAACATGGTGAAATCCCGTCTCTACTAAAAATACAAAAATTAGCAGGGCATGATGGTACACACCTGTAATCTCAGCTACTCAGGGGGCTGAGACAGAACTGCTTGAACCGGGGAGGTGGAGGTTGCAGTGAACCAAGGTCACGTCACTACGTCACTGCACTCCAGCCTAGGCAACAGAGTGAGACTCTGTCTTAAAAAATAAAACTTTTTTTCTTCTTAAGAGATGGAGTTTTGCTCTTGTTGCCCACGCTGGAATGCAGTGGTGCGATCTCAGCTCACTGCAACCTCTGCCTCCCAGGTTCAAGTGATTCTCCTGCCTCAGCCTCCCAAGTAGCTGGGACTGCAGGCACGCAGCACCGCACCCGGCTAACTTTTTGTATTTTTAGTAGAGATGGGGTTTCACCGTGTTAGCAAGGATCGTTTCTATCTCCTGACCTTGTGATCTGCCCACCTTGGCCTCCCAAAGTACTAGGATTACAGGCTTGAGCCACCGCGCCTGGCTGAAAACTTTTTGATGGAATACGCAGAAATTGATACAATAATGATAAACCCTAGTACCCCTCACCGGCTTTAGCACGTGCTAGTATTTTGTGACTGTGTTTGACTTTTTTTGTCTTGGCCCTAGGTGAAATGACAATGGATACCATCTTGGCTCGATTGAAACTTCTGAATCCAGATGACCTTAGAGAGGAAATCATCAAAGCTGGATTGAAATGTGGACCCATTACATCAACTACAAGGTTTATTTTTGAGAAAAAATTGGCTCAGGCTTTACTGGATCAAGGAGGAAGACTGCCTTCTTTTGACCACCATGAGACAGCTGCCGTAGCTCTCAGCCAAGACACACAAAGGATTTTGAAGTCAGCTGAAGGGAACCCAACTGATCAGGCTAGTTTTTCTGAAGACAGAGATTTTGGTTACAGTGTGGGCCTGAATCCTCCAGAGGAGGAAGCTGTATCGTCCAAGACCTGCTCGTTGCCCCCCAGCACTGTGGCGGGGGCCGGGATCCCCAGAGCTGGAGTGACTGAGTCTACGGAGCCTCCTCTGTACTATGGGGTGTGTCCAGTGTATGAGGACATCCCAGCAAGAAACGGTAATGGGACCGTTGTCTAGTATTTCCTTACACAGCACCCACGGGGAGGGGCAGAATGAGGTTTCAAAATGGAAAAATACAGATTAAAAAAAGAAAAAATCCAATCACCATAATCTCTTCATCCCAGTCAACCACTGTTAACATTTTTATATAGAACTTTTCTGAAATATTTGTGAATCTGTGTGAGAACTTTTTTTTTTTTTTAGAGACAGAGTCTCGCTCTGTCACCAGGCACCAGGCGCCAGGCTGGAGTGCAGTGGCGCAATCTCGGCTCACTGCAACCTCCGCCTCCCGGGTTCAGGCAATTCTCCTGCCTCAGCCTCCTGAGTAACTGGGACTACATGCGCATGCCACCATGCCCAGCTAATTTTTATATTTTTAGTAGAGATGGGGTTTCACCATGTTGGTCAGGATGGTCTCAATCTCTTGACCTCATGATCCGCCCACCTTGGCCTCCCAAAGTGCTGGGATTACAGGCTTGAGCCACTGCGCCCTGCCCCTTTTTTTTTTTTTTTTTTAAGAGACAGAGTCTCGCTTTGTTGTCCAGGCTGGAGTACAGAGGCATGATCTCAGTTCAAGCAGTTCTTCTGCCTCAGCCTCTCGAGTAGCTGGGACTACAGGCATGTGCCACCACGCCTGGCGAATTTTTATGTTTCAGTAGAGACGGGGTTTCACCATGTTGGCCAGGCTGGTCTCGAACTCCTGAGCTCATGATCCACCTGCCCCAGTCTCCCAAAGTGCTGGGATTACAGGCATGAGCCACCGCGTGCGGCTCTACATGAGAACTTTTAAAATGTGTTAGGTAAAGTGGATTCTGTGAGATATGCTGGACTTGGAGATATAAATATTCATATTAACTGGCTGCTGCTGTTGGCTGGGAACTTTGTTATCTCTCCCTTTTTAAAATTCATTGTAACCGGAACACCTTTTATGTTAATGAATGCAAATGGCCCATGATTGTATAAGCAATTTTCAGCATCAAAGAATCGTAATTTTATTGTTTTTATTTATTCATTCATCCGAGACAGGGTCTCACTTTGTCACCTGGGCTGCAACGCAGTAGTGCAGTCATGGCTCACTGCAGCCTCAAGCTCTCTGGGCTCAGGTGATCTCAACAACTCACTGCAATGTCTGTCTCCCAGGCTCAAGTAATCCTCCCACCTCAGCCTCCTGAGTAGCTGGGATTGCAGGCATTGGCCAGTACGCTGGCCATTTTTGTGTGTGTTTTTGGTAGAGACAAGGTTTCCCCATGTTGCGCAGGCTGGTCTCCAACTCCTGGGTCAAGTGATCTGCCCACTGTGGCCTCCCAAAATGCTGGGGTTACAGGTGTGAGCCACCTAGCTAATTTAAAATTTTTTGGGGGACAATTGCTGTTGTCCCCCAGGCTGGAGTGAAATGGCGCATTCTCAACTCAATGCAACCTCTGCTTACTGGGTTCAAGCCTCAGCCTTCCCAGTAGCTGGGATTACAGGTGCCTGCTACCATGCCTGGCTAATTTTTGTACGTTTAGTAGAGACGGGGTTTCACCATGCTGACCAGAATGGTCTTGTTCTCTTGACCTCGTAATCTGCCCACCTTGGCCACCCAAAGTGCTGGGATTATTGGCGTGAGCCACTGTGTCCAGCCAATATATATATATTTTTAAGTGGCTGGTCTTGCACTCCTGGCTTTAAGCAGTTCTCCCATCTGAGCCTCCCAAAGTCCTGAGATTAGATTACAGGTGTGACCCACTGTGACCAGCCCAAGAATTGTAATTTTTTTTTTTTTTTTTTTTTAGAATTGTAATTTTAAACGAGATTTAGCATTGAAAAAAAATGAGAACTCAATATTGATTCAATGCCAGAAACTGCACACTGTCATTAGTATTATTGTTATTACTGTGGGCCGGGTGCGGTGGCTCACGCCTATAATCCCAGCACTTTGGGAGGCCGAGGCGGGTGGATCATGAGGTCAAGAGATCAAGAACATCCTGGTCAACATGGTGAAACCCCTTCTCTACTAAAAATACCAAAAAAAATTAGATGTGTGTGGTGGTGCACACCTGTAGTCCCAGATACTGGGGAGGCTGAGGCAGGAGAATTGCTTGAACCCGGGAGGCGGAGGTTGTGGTGAGCTGAGATCACGCCATTGCACTCCAGCCTGGGTAACGAGCGAAACTCCGTCTCAGAAAAAAAAAAAAAGGAATTATTATTACTGTGATGTCATTTGTGGTGATGTCTACGCGTAGGAAATTGATAAAACACCATGAATAGATACTCTCCCATAAGATTTTTTTTTTGAGAGACGGAGTCTTGCTATGTTGCCCAGGCTGGAGTGCAGTGGCTATTAACAGGTTCGATCCAACTGCTGATCAGCACGGGAGTTTTGACCTGCTCCATGTTCAACCTGGGTCAGTTCACCCCTCCTTAGGCAACCTGGTGGTCTCCCGCTTCTGGGAGGTCACCATATTGATGCCAAACTTAGTGCAGACACCTGATCAGCATAGCGCACTACAGCCCAGAACTCCTGGGCTCAAGCATCCTCCACAGCCTCCCGAATAGCTGGGACTACAGGCGCGTGCCACTGCACCCAGCTCCGGAAGATCCTTTTTTTTTTTCACTGATAAAGCTTATAAATTATTATCATTATTATTACTTTAGAGACAGGGTTTCACCATATTGGTCAGGCTGGTCTAGAACTCCTGACCTCATGATCTGCCTGCCTCTGCTTCCCAAAGTGCCTGGATTACAGGCATTAGCCACCACGCCTGGCCTAGATCTTTTTAAAGAATATTTAGTGGCCGGGGGCAGTGGCTCAGGTCTGTAATCCAGGCACTTTGGGAGGCAGAGGCAAGTGGATCATGAGGTCAGGAGTTCGAGACCATCCTGGCTAACATGGTGAAACCCCGTCACTACTAGAAATACAAAAAATTAGCCGGGTGTGGTGGCATGTGCCTTTAGTCCCAGCTACTTGGGAGGCTGAGGCAGGAGAATTCCTTGAACCCGGGAGGCGGAGGTTGCAGTGAGCCGAGATCACGCCACTGCACTCCAACCTGGGCAACAGAGTGAGACTCTTGTCTCAAAAAAAAAAAAATCTTTAGTAACACTGGGAAACGGTCATTGTTTCCACGCTTTCCACCAGAGTTTGTGTTGGTAAATGTTCCCTTTCATCTTTTGAAGAAGGGACACCCGCCTTCCTGTGTGAGGTTGGTTACCTTTGTTCATGGCTATAGTCTCTTGTGTTGGATGATTGTTTGGTCATATTACCATGGCCATTTTTATCCAATAGTGGATGGTAACTATTCTTCTGTTATCTTGCTTATAAATTTCTGTCTGCTGGCCAGTCGTTTATATTTTATGTATTTATGATAGTCTCATGCACTGCAGAGCTTTAATATTTTCGTAAAATATGATTATCTCATTTTGGATGGTTTCTTGGCACATTAAGAAAGCCATTCCCAGCCCGAACGGCTCATCTAATTAAAAATAATTGAGGCTGGGGACTGTGGCTCACGCCTGTAATCCCAGCACTTTGGGAGGCCGAGGTGGGTGGATTACCTGAGGTCAGGAGTTCAAAACCAGCCCGACCAACATGGGGAAACCTTGTCTTTACTAAAATGCAAAAGTCAGCTGAGCATGATGTGACTGGTGCCTGTAATCCCAGCTACTCGGGAGGCTAAGACAGGAGAATCACTTGAACCCGGGAGACGGTGGTTGCAGTGAGCTGAGATTGCGCCACTGCACTACAGCCTGGGCGACAGAGCGAGACACTTTCTCAAGGAAAAAAAAAGGCATTCCTGGCTGGGTGAGGTGGTTCACGTCTGTAATCCCAGTACTTTGGGGGGTCGAGGCGGGTGTATCACCTGAGGTTAGGAGTTTAAGAGCGGCCTGTCCAACATGGTGAAACCCTGTCTCAAGTTAAAAATACAGAAAATTAGTCAGGCGTGGTGATGAAGGACTGTAATCTCAGCTACTCGGGAGGCTGAGGCAGGAGAATCACTTGAATTTGGGAGGCGGAGGTTGCAGTTAGCCTAGATCACACCATTGCACTCCACCCTGGGCAACAAGAACGAAACTCCGTCTCCAAAAAAAAAGGCATTTCCCATCCAAAATTATATTTAAAATTCTCTTGTGTTCTTGGCTGACGTCTTCATAGTTTTGTTTTGTTTTTAAGAGATGGGGTTTCACCTTGTTGGTCAGGCTGGTTTCATACTCCTGACCTCAGGTGATCCACCCACTTCGGCCTCCGGGAGTGCTGGGATTACAGGTGTGAGCCGAGGCACCTTCATAGTTTTTTTTGTTTGTCTGTTTTTGTTTTTTAACTTGCCTTTCAATTACTCATTTATGCACGTTTTTGAAATGAAGTTTCGCTCTTATTGCCCAGGCTGTAGTGCAGTGGCGTGATCTTGGCTCACTGCAACCTCTGCCTCCCAGGTTCAAGTGTTTCTCCTGCCTCAGCTTCCCAAGTAGTTGGGATTACAGCCATGCACCACCACGTCCAGCTAATTTTTGTATTTTTAGTAGAGAAGGGGTTTCACCATGTTGGCCAGGTTGGTCTTGAACTCCTGATCTCAGGTGATCCTCCCACCCTGGCCTCCCAAAGTGTTGGGATTACAGGTGTGAGCCACAGTCCCTGGCCTCAATTATTTTTAATTAGATCTTTATATGAAATTTATTTCTTAAGATAGAATCTTAGGATGTATAATTACATATGTGTCTATAATATGTATCATGTTATTCACATGCATCTACATACATGATCCAGCTTGTTTATTCTGTTATTTTGGCTCTCGAAGGCCCTTTTTCTTCAGGATTAAAGATCTGAACTAAGCCTGGCGACTGGGTAGCAGACGTGAGCTGATGATGAAAGGCAGGGCGTGACCTGCTACAGTCACTCATTTCTGATTTTCATTTGTTACTTTTCCTACCCAGAAAGGATCCATGTTTACATAAATAAAAAGGAAGCACTGCAAGCTGTCAAAATGATCAAAGGGTCCCGATTTAAAGCTTTTTCAACCAGAGAAGATGCTGAGAAATTTGCTAGAGGAATTTGTGATTATTTCCCTTCGCCAAGCAAAACATCCTTACCACTTTCTCCTGTGAAAGTAGCACCACTCTTTAGCAATGATGGGTCGAAAGGTAAATGATGCAGCAGTTCACATCTTTTACCCCACACTGTTGTGCCTTCTTTCCTCTTCTGTAGTAACTTGTTTTCTCCATGAGGGTAGAGTCGATGGGCCTGAGCAGACCGGGAAGCCACTCTAGCTCTGATGCTAATGTGCCAGTATTTAGCACTCCTGATGTTGTGATCCACCCACCTCAACCTCCCAAAGTGCTGGGATTGTAGGCGTGAGCCACCATGCGCAGCCATGGAATTTAAAAATGCTTTATGGAGACAGGGTTTTGCCATGTTGCCCAGGCTGGTTGAATTGCTGGCATCAAGCAATCCTCCCGTCTCAGCCTCCCAAAGTGCCGAGATTACAGGCGTGAGCCCCTGTGCCTAGGCTGGGGTCTTTTTTGAGATCAGTCTACTTCCCCACCTGAAGCTATACCAACCTGTAGGACTGGGACATCTGCACAATCAGGCTCATCTGTAGGAGTGTCCAGCCGGAAGCCTGACCCATTCCCACCTCCCAGCTGAGAACGAGGGTTTTGTTTGAAGGCGATCTTCACAGTCCGCGTGTTATAGATCATTGGCTTTCCCTTTTGTCTGGCCTCAGCTCCCCAGCTGAGTGTCTTCAAACAAAACCCTCATTCTGAGCTGGGAGGTGGGTATGGGTCAGACTTCTGGCTGGACGCTCCTACAGATGAGCCTGATTGTGCAGATGCCTCAGTCCTGGAAGGAGGTATAGCTTCAGGTGGGGAAGCTTCCTCAGAAGGAAATCACTTTAAGACATAAATCAGGCTGGGCATGGTGGCTCACACACCTGTAATCTCAGCACTTTGGGAGGCCAAGGCGGGCGGATCATGAGGTCAGGAGTTCGAGACCAGCCTGGCTAACATGGTAAACTCCCATCTCTACTAAAAATACAAAAATTAGCCGGTTGTGGTGGCAGGCATCTGTAATCCCAGCTACTCGGGAGGCTGAGGCAAAAGAATCGGTTGAAGCCAGAAGGCAAAAGTGCAGTGAGCCAAGATAGCACCACTGCACTTCCAGCCTGGGTGAAAGAGCAAACTCTGTCTCAAAAAAAGAAAAAAATTAGCTGGGCATGGTGGTGTGCACCTGTAACCCCAGCTACTCAGGAGGCTGAGACAGGAGAATTGCTTGAACCTGGGAGGCAGAGGCTCCAGTGAGCTGAGATTATGCCATTGCACTCCAGCCTGGGCGAGAGAGCAAGAGTCCATCTCAAAAAAAAAAACAAATCACTTATGGAGCACTCGACCTTTGCAGGAACGCTGTGCACAGCGGAGGTCTCGTGTGATTGCTGGTCATGCTCCCTTGGCCACAGCTGCCATTATTTCTTCGCAACCTACTGACCGAGCTTTCAGAGTTCGCTGGCTGGGTGTGGTGACACATGCCTGTAATTCTAACGCTTTTGGGAACTGAGGCAGAAGGATCTCTTGAAGCCAGGAGTTTGAGACCAGTCTGGGCAACATAGTGAGACCCCATCTCTAAAAATACATACATATATATATATACACACATATATAACCGGGCGTGGTGGCATACAACTGTAGTCCCAGCTACTTGGAATGCTGAGGTGGGAAGATCACTTGAGTCCAGGAGGGTTGAGGCTGCAGTGAGCTATGATCATGCCACCACACTCCAGCCTTGGAGACAGAGCCAGACCCTGTCTCTGAAAAAAAGTTCACCAAACTTTGCCTCATTCACACAGCCTTTCCCAGCAAGATTGCAGCCGGGTCTGGCTTCTCTCACAGCTTGCTCTGCTCACAGCGGTGCTCTGACTGCCTTTGTGGGCTGGCATCAGTGGCCACGAGCCCATCTCATCATTTTTCACCTGTGCCTGCCCCCCTTTTTTTTTTTTTTTAGGAGACAGAGTCTTGCTCTGTCACCAGGCTGGAGTACAGTGGCACCATCTCAGCTTACTGCAGCCTCTGCCTCCCAGGTTCAGGCAATTTTCCTGCCTCAGCCTCCCCAGTAGCTGGGATTA